TGGGGGGGTGGGACTTTGATTCCATTCTGTCAATAATTCTTAAATCCCTGATCTTCTAGAAAGACATAATAATATCCCACTTTCCAGGGGAATCCAGGCCTGCATGGAAGATCAAATGTGGCTTGCAGGAGGCCAAGGGATCTTGAGGCACCGTGTGCCCTTGATGGGCAATAAATCCATTTGCATTCCAATGGAAGGAACATCTCTTTCTGATCCCACCTGACCCACAATTATTCATCAACCTGCCTGGGAGGAGGAGTTAATCAATAACACAACTCGCCTTCAGATAAGTCAAGCACAACTGACTTTTCCAAGACTTGGTTTCTTCCATTCCTGCTTTAATCTCTCCGCTTCACTGTCTTGCCATGAGTATGACCAGCCCGCTGTATGAAGAGCCTCTTTGTCTTCCTCAAGCAAATCCACACTTGCACGAATTCAAGCAGGGGCGTCCAATTCAAGGGTGCCCTGGTGGGACAACTCTGCCAGGACAGAACCTTTTGGGGCTGAAAGATGGCAAGCTCCAAATGCTGACAGCTGCCCTGAATTGGCGGGAGCTGCTGGTACAGACTTGATATTGATGAACAGGATCTGGGGAAAAGTGCATGATCAAGACGAGGCGTTTGCAATCTTTTCATGGCACACAAGACTTCCTGCTCGTTCCCCCAGTTTCATGGCAGGCTACGGAGGGTCTGAGCCTGCTGCGTTCAATGGGCCTGGGTCCAAGTGCACACAGGACATCTGATCCTTTGCACAGAAGCAAATCTTCTTGTGTTCAGTGGGGCAGCTTCCAAACTAAAGGCGCACAGGAGAGGGACGCTTTTAAGGCTGAGCTAGCCATTCCCCAGCCCTTGGGGGCTGACAGGCAGGGATAGCATGGACCAAAATGGATGAGAATCATGACATGGACAGGAGGAGGATTTTGACTTCTGGCAGTGCCAGGGAGGTGGGTGGATTGAATAGATGCTGAAACCCCAAACCTCGATTTTCTGTCTGCCCTAACCCCACCAGGCTCTTGATCTGTTTCCCCCTCCCCCCACACTTATCCCCCAAGAAATGGGAAACCTGTTCCTTTCTGTGTGCCAGTGGCCAGGGTGATGTGCTTAGGAGCAACTCGCATGTCCTTGTGGTGTGTGACATTTGCTCAAGGGATTTCAAAATGATGGCCTCTCGGGGAAGTTAGCAGCTCAGAATGGAGAGTTGTGGGAAAGTGGAGACCTGTCATTTTGGAGAAAGGAGATGACTGGGAATCCATTAATGAAGATGCTAAGCTAGTGCTAGCTTGGGCATCAAGCAATATACAGAGAGCTTGGAGCGAAGAGTACCTAACCCATCTTCTCTAGTTTATTGGCATGCTAGGTCACATTCCATCTTTTGAAGGTGGCATTGCAAGAGCCCAACCAAGCTCACTCACTCCAGGGCGAATATTCAAAGAGACTAGCATCTTTACCTAACAGAGCTTTGAAAATGAAAACATTCACACCCAAGATCACGATCCGGCTTGCATCATGTTAAATAATCAATACCGTACTATTTATGAAATTAAGTTGCTCGTGATACTGCAGTGTTCTAAGGATATGGATCAGAGTTATTAGAATGATCAGGAATATCGTCTTTGTAGGTTACTAAAGGCAGTTGGTGGTGAGCAGGGGAGTGTGGGTTGGGGGGGGAGGTGCTGCTGAAATCTGGAGCAACCACTCTACAAGGACATTCTAGTTCCACTCCCCCCTCCCCTGGAGAAGGCTTCAGTGCTGGGAAAGGTGGAAGGAAAGAGAAGAAGAGGACGACCAGCAGCAATATGGGTGGACTCGTTACATTGGCAATGGGGGCACTGTTGCAAGAGCTGAAAGGCCAGGTTAGGGAGAGATAGTCACGGAGGTCTATCTATGTGGTCACTAAGAGTTGACTCCAACTTGATAATGAATTGATCAATCAGTCAATCAGTGCAAAGACCCAACTCCTTTGAGAAGTCCATAATGCTGGGAAAGGTGAAAGGAAAGAGGAGGATGACCAGCCGCAAGGAAGATGGACTAGATACAGCAGCGATGGGGGCGTTGTTGGGAGACCGGAAGGATCAAGTTGAGGACAGATCCTCCTGATGAAAATCTATTCTTGTGGCTGCTAAGAGTCAACACTGACTTGATAGCACATAATCAAACTTTCCATTGGTGCTTGTGTATGGACACCTCCCCCCCCCCCCCCCCCCCCC